ATTACAAAAAAAATGAACAAAATGAAAAATTATGATTGGTTGAATGAGGTTTTCACGGTTTTTACAAATTGAGTGGTTTTTATTTGAATCCACATATATATATATATATATATATATATATATATATATATATATATATATATATATATGTAATCCAGTTTGCACGTCAATTTTCAAAGAATTTGTTGTAAAGCAAACCACTTCAACAAAGAATTGTGAAAAAGCAAGTGAAAGAATTTGTTGTCGATGGAATATATATTTTAACAAATAAGATCGTATCTAAAACAGACAAAATCCGGCATATAAAATATCATCGTTATAAATGTTTTCGACATACATATTAAAACCAAAAAAAAAATATTATCATGAAAAGAAAAACCGTCTTTAAATTATATCTTTTCATCCTAAAATTTGTTTATTTTTGTCGTAAAGAAATGATTAGGAAGAAGTTGTAGGTATTATTGCAGGATTAGAGCACGTGGTTACGAACCACAGTGTCGGGGGTTCGAATCCCTTTTCAGAAATATATTAGCGGATGAATTAGTCAAATTCAGGAAAAAAAAACTGATCGTATGGGAAATACTTGTAAAAAAAAATACAAACCCGAAATAAAAAATAAAAAAAGTATTTCATTATCAGTGACAAATTTCGTACAAAAGAGCAAACTCATCCTAAAAAGTCTACACCGTCTATTATTAGGAATAGGATCTATTAGTGTTCTCTTACTAATATTAGTAAGTACATACGGAAAAAATAGATACGAAAGCAGCACACAATAAGATACGTCATAAGCCATTGATTTCCCTCTCGGTTTTTCTTTTTTTGAAATGTTATCTTTATCATATCATAAATATATGAATACGTGACACATCAACACTGCATAACACAACGAATCATGGTAAAAACATTTCACTGTATTTGATGCAAACTTTAAACGTTTCTTTCATATCTATTCATTTACTCGCTTAAGACATATTCCAACAGTTTCAATGAATCCGTGGTTAAACAAACCCCTATCCACTTAATCGTGACCTCTTACATCGAACCTCATATCTTAACCTCTCGTGCCCTCTTTATTTATAATCCAAAAAGATAAGAATACATGGTCGCCCTGAGATTAGTCGGCTAACATAGAGGGTTGAATATCCAGGTTAAAGAATAAAAAACGTACGTCTTATAATCATCTAAAACAGAACACAACGGCTAGAATTTTTATAACGAATCTGATAAACAGAGAATAAAAGTAATCGTAAAAAGAAAGTACCTGATTTGTGGGGAAGAATAAGATTAGAGAAATGGGCATGAAAATGGCATGAGACCTTACAAAGCCCCAAATTTTAAATGTGATTAAGGTCACAATTTCATGGGATGCCCCGTCGTTTTTCTTGCCTTATTTCCTTGCTTCTAACGTATTCTTTCTTTCTACTTTGTTGCTCCCACAATCTTCTCTTACTTTTTGGAATCTTTGCCAACTCCGCATACGTTGCATCTTCCGATTATTTTACAAACAATAGAAAAAACAGTCGGGTTTCATGATTTGGTTTGTATACGTCAAGTAAAACAAGTCAAACATACCCAACATATTCCACTCCTGAATAGGGTCTAGAGGTCTGATATTGCGGGTTTTACAAGTCAAACAACGATGCGGATTATCTATACAGATTTTTATCAACTTGTAAGATTAGTTTACAAAGATTTCATTCACTTGATACATAATTGTATGATAAGTGTCAACATGTGCATTTTGGGTATGTTTCAAACAAGTGTCTTTTCCCCTTTTGGGGGGCAGGGGGCGGGGGGGGGGGGGGGGCTTGGTGAGCAACAACCACTCGGTGGAATAGATGTCAAATTTGCATGCATCCATCATCCTAAACGGGTTGGACTAGGATTGTTTGGTCTCCCTACCTCTAGTTTTAAGTCTGTAACACTATGTGCAGAAAGCAAAACCATCTAAAAGATAAGCATACAGTAAATGGTCTGAATATGACATTTGAGCTGTAAGCATTGGGTAGAAGTTGACATGGTATCATTTGACTTCTCCTAAAATAGCAAGCACATACCTAACAGGACTCATCTGCAAAACCTAACTTCATTTAAGAATTTTCAGATTTTGGAGAGATCAAGGATTTATGTAACTTTTAAGCAGCGATATGGACTTGTGGTTCTATGATGTTCACATGAAAATTTTCGATTAAAAAACCTAAAGATGCATAAACAATCCGACTACATCCATTGTTATCACGAAGGGATGAACTGAGAAGACGATGAGATACTGTAATTGTAGAAACACCACAAGCTTTCAATTTGGGTATAACCCTTCAAAACTCCTTAGCGATACTGCAAATATGAGATAAAAACGAACATGAGTTCAGCTTAAAGATAAAATTGCAGGCTCAATAAGCTGTATGGCAAAGTGATGAAATAGAAGCAAGAAATAAACACAAGGATTGCATGCCCAAAGTTTTACATTTCATTAATCCCGAAGCAGATCGATAAATATATTCTCCCTCCACTCCAAGAAACAACTACCAAAAAAAGTGCAGGTGCGTCCCAGTCCCACAGTAGCACCTCATTTTCTATTTTGGAGAAGTTTGAATCAATAGTGACCGTTTTTTTCCTTTTTTGGTAACTGTGGGCAACTTGTGCATACCTTGACTAATCCCATGGGACCCAGATATAACAGCTAGAAAAATCCTCAGTGGCTCTAAGAGCATCTTCAATAGATTCTCCAAATTAGAGAATCAAAAGTTAAAATCTCTAAAAAAATTATATTCCATCTCCAACAGCTTCTCCATTTTGGAATTTACAATATGAATTATATTATTAAGATATTCAATACATTTCATAAAATATTATTTCTCTCTCCTAGGCACTTAATTTCAAAGATCCTCATTGGTAGGAAGAATAAGAAATAATTTTTTTTCATAGGTAATCATTTTTTGAAGAGATCTTGAAATTTGGAGAATTTCATCCTCTCTCCTACTTTCTTCATTTCATAAAATATTATTTCTCTCTCCCCGGGATTAGTCGAGGTGCACATAAGCTGTCCCAGACACACAAGGTTAACAAACAAAAAGCTTTCTCTAATAAGCATTTTAGATATGAAGCTAATAGTTAAATACACTTTAATCAAGCTATATGCAAGCAGAACAACACATAGACAAACTCCACCCCGAATGTCTGCATACCTTAATGAAGCCAATTTCCTTGGCGTTGCTGTGGAAACACTGTCTGCAGCACATAAGGCCATATTTCCTGATCAAGCCATGGGAATTTCCACACACACGACTGCCAAAGAAAGTAGACCTCTCATATCACCAATAAGAAAACTAATTCCAAAAACCCACTGAAAAAGTGATCATGATCGTAAAGCATTCGTGATGCAACAATTGGTTAAGGTAAAAGTAGAAAGTTTTGGCTTTAGAAATAATGATGTGACTACAATACAAACACTAATACTGTATTTAGCCTTCATTCCATAGACAAACTCCACCACATTCAACATCAAGTCTTCTCAGTTGAATTAGCTAATAGATAATGGCACTTGGAAGTAGAAAATTTATCAAGTACATCACTCAGCTACCTATACATATGACATCAGTTTATGGCATTTGACACACACATAAGATTATTATGCAAATTCAAGATCCCAGATCGTAAATTTCTTTTCGAAAGAACTGATAATGAGGGTAAATTTTGCAACAAATACCACCGATGGAGAACATGTTGGTGATAAATTAGCAATAAGATCCATGTATAATTGTTTCTGGATGAAAATGGGGACATCTAAAAGCATCCATTTTCTTGGAAGAACAGTTGGGTTGCAGAACATAAACAAGAAGAAATTACTCTCCACAAAAGCTAATTTACGAAAACCTAATCACTGCACATTGAACAAATCACTCCTAATTGCTGTTTCATCTTCTAATAGAATGTTAAAACGAGTTCCTTCACACACTGCCAATGCCATTCCTAATCCGTACACCTTTTATCCATTGAAACACTTGCTAATAACATTCAATCTAACAGTCTATCACATACAAGAAAAAACCCATTACAAAGATTTCATAGCAAGATTACAGAATAAAAACCCAATAAAAAGCAATGAAGTTTTTTAGGGTTTACCAGGTGCGGGAACCAGGACCGTAGGTCTTAGGATGAGAGTTCCAGACATTTGAATGACCCATCTGATCTGATGCTTTAAAACTTTTAGATGCAGATGAGATGGTTGTGAAAGCCGCAGCCAATGTCTCGTCAGATCAGATGCAACGAAGTATAGTATTTATACACGAGCTCACTCAAAACCCTAATCCTGTAATCCATTTATACAATTTGATACTTTCGCAACGACTGTTTCTTGGTGTGTTCTAAAAAGGGTTACATGTTTGGTCCTTGAGGTTTACGTCCAAGTACGGATTTCATCTCTAAAATGAAATAATTACACTCGTCTTGTGTTTTGCATTATTTTTTTGCAAGATTGATCCCTTGTCCTAACGCCGTTAATTGAAACCTGTTAACTTAATTAACGAAAGGGGCATTTTGGTCTTTTACTTATTTCTCTAACTTTTTCTAAGAAATAACTTCTAACCTTCACCCAAAATGGTCAGGTGTGCCTCGTTTCCACCCCTTCCCTCGAGTCCTATGCCTACAGTCGTTCATTTTTTGCCAGCAAAAAATGGCGTAAAAGATGGATGTACGGGCTTTTTTAGTCAAAAGGGTTTGGAGAGGAAAGTGATTCGAGAAAACTCCGACAACAAAACTTGTCTCCTTGAGAGCCTTGCGAGACTTTTTGCCGTTATGCACAGCCCCTTTCACCACAATTTTTTGTTTAGAAAACAATCAATTATACATATTGATGGCTCATTTGGATTAGTTAACAAAATTAAAATTGTACCTATGTCGTTTTTGTAAATTTGATGATCTATGTGTGTGGATAAAGCCGAAGATGGTCGTCGAAAAGTGTCCAGAGATGGAGAGTTCTGTGTGTATGTACGTGTGTTTTCTCTGTTTCTATTTTGTTGCTGAAATCGTAAGTGCCCTGAGGTGGTGGGCAAAAAGTGCTCGGAGGTAGGGTCGGATGTTGTATGTGTTATGTGTGTGTATTATAGATATATAATATTTTTAATTTTTAATAACAAATTTTAGAAAAATGGTAAAAAGGCCAAATTGTCCATGAGTTGACGAATTTAATTCAAAGATGTTAGAATGAGTATAATTATTTCAATTTAGAGATAAAAATGCAAAGCAATAGGACAATAAGGAGCCGTTTACTAAGCATTTATCTTGGTAAGCGCTTATCGGTTCAATTACTTTATCCGGTGAACATAACAAGGACCGAGAATCTTCTCTGGTAAAAAGGAAGACAAGAATTGAGAATCTTATCCGATAAGTAAAGGTAATGACTCTTACCCGGTAAGCGTTTGTCGGGTTATAATCGCTTACCATCAATCAATTTTGGTGGTCGGGAATGATACCCCATAAGATAAATGAGAATAGTGACTTTTGCTGGTAAACGCTTATTCAATAAGCGTTTAGTAAACGACTCCTAAAAAAACGTGAACCATCAGGAGGATGAGTGTAATTATCTCACTTTAGGGACGAAACCGATAATTTGGTGTAAACCAATCACTTAATTATCATGTTCTATAATTTATCTCATTTCTTCTCAAATTTAAAATTTTCAACATTGAATCCTTTTTTTTTGGCAAAAAAATCTATATCTAGATCACAAAACTAAGTCTTGCAACAAAAAAACATGTATGAACTTAAAAAAAATATCATTGTTTCATCTATGAACTTTGTTTAAACTTTCTTAATTATCTTATTCATTTTCTGGTTTCATCTATGAACTTTGGTAAAAAAAAATTGAAACAAATTATGAACTTTAAACAAAAATCATTGTTTCACCTAAGAACTTTCTTAAAACTACCTTAATTATTTCATTCACTTTTTGGTTTCACCTATGAACCTGGATAAAAAATTTGAAACAACCAAAGTCCATATACAAGAGGAACGGAACTTAATTTTAAAAATAACTAAATTTATGGGATACATGAAATTAAAACCGAATTTAAGTGATAAAAAGAAAGGAATTTAATTGTAAAAATAACCAAATTTATCTTTAAAAAAACACATTTTATTCCAAATTTGTCATTCATTTTATTTTATTTTTCCCTTTTATCAGTTTATAACCTTCAATTTAATCATAATCGTTGATAAAAAAAAATAAACAATTTAAATGCGTTTGTAAAGTTAGTACTAATTAATTGTTTAGCAAATAATCACACCTCTATATATATAGGGGCCAGTTCATGTGAGAACCCAAAAAAAAATGAGAACCGGAGATTAGGTACATTCATCGATGTATACACACTAATAAAGTTTAGCGAGTATATAATACATGGGAAGGGTTCAAACGATAACATCCTTTTACTATAGACAATCACATGTGATACATGTGACACTAAATCAGAGACAAAATGGAGATGAGTATAGAGTCGAGGGCCGTTGATTTTAGTTAACGAGAACGTGGGAAAGATAAACACATATCTTAACATGAGGGCTACTTCTGTCATATCTAAACTGTAGAGATGAATTGTATTGATTTCCATAAACCACGAGGACAAAATCTGTAATTCATTGTGAAACATAAACACTACAAATACATTAACATACGTATCGAACAAAAAAACATATATTGTAATTGCTGTATAAAATATAAGTTTCACAGCTTGAACATTTTGGATGAACCCATATGTCCAATATGCACAATATGGTTGCTCCAAATTATGAAGAACTACAGAGATATGACTCTGATAGCTGCAGCCCCATTTACAGAAGTGGTGTTGGTGTTAGACCTGCATTTGTGACTCCAAAGAAAGTGCAAGATTTCTGCAACATTTTAACTGGGAGTGGAATGGTACAAGTAGCAGCAACAGCAGAAGCAGTGGGGTCTTAATGGTTGGTGGCTGCTTTCTCTAAGCTTGCCATATATGTCATGTACACAGTCCATATGTATGCAAATGAATTGCTCACCAGTGGCTACAAACAAAACCAAAACCAACATCAATAATCACATAATCTTATTATCATCAACATATGCATCATAATTTCCATTTAGGTTACCTGCAAATGAACAGGGATGAATCTGAATGTGATAAAATCACATACAGGCCAATACATAACACCATTGATCATCGTGGGGATCAGGTCTCGCTTCAATCTACCAACAATTTCTGCACCATTTTCACCTAAGACACACAACATATCCAACCACAATTATAAACCATGTAGATATTAGGGCATTATGTGTGTTCCACACTGTTGTAATTCTTGCATACATAAATCTGAAACTAAAGACGGCCCATTATAATGGAAGCAAGAAACTAATACCTTGTAGGCCTGCATTCACAGAAAAGAATACAACAGTCATAACAGGCCCAAAAATTGCCTGTCCGAGGAACATCTTCTTGAACGTTGCAATAAGGTCTCGTGTTGGAAGGATTCTTGATACAAAGTTGAACCAGTAATGTAGCGCTGGGCCTAACACAATCATTCCATATCCAGCCATGCGAAAAGTCCGAACAAAATCATAAGACTCTGAAGATGACCGTGTCATTGTCTGAAGATGGGTGATTAAAGAGTATAAAACACATATGTTATGAAGGCTTTAAATCAATTAATGCATAAAAATGTATATCCACAATACCGAAGATTAACATTACAGTTTGAATTTTCTTGTAGTTTTTGTACTTAACAACTTATATGAAATTATACGGACATGTTTATGGATTTTCTTATGATTTTATCACTCTAATAAGAGTCTATCAAATTATCAACAACAATGGTGATTGAACCAATGCTGACATGAAAATCTTTGGACTTTTTAGTGAAAAACATACCCCATGTAAACTGAGGTAGAAATCAGGTATGTTTACATCTTACCCTTCCCAGATCCCCACCTCTAGGTACGATATACTGAGTTGGTTTGGTTTGGTTTGGTTCGGTTCGGTTCGGTTTTAGCGGGGAATCCCCGTCCCCGTCCGGGTCGGGTGAACCGGGTTCCCCACCGGGTCGGGCCAAATCACCATCCCTACCCCCACCGACCCTCCAAAAACACCAACTCCATCTCCACAAAGAAGTGATTTTTACTTTAATGAGCTCCTTCAACTTATAGAAAAAGGACTAGCTATGCTTTCTATATCTTCTTGTTTAAGCTCCTCAAAGTTCAGATGACATAACACATACAATCAAACTGTTTTGGCAAAACAAGAACTCATAGTTTTGAGACCATGTTGAAACTAAACCCATCAGCACTAGTCTTGCAAAGATAACAAAGCAAATGATCACATTTTCAAATCACAAAAACCAACAAAGTCTTTGCCACATCAATATTTGAGGGAGTAATGCCACAACTGAAATTGTTAAGATCATAAAACAACAATATAACAAAACATGGGACTTGCCTTCAATTTTTTAGTTAATGTCTGGATGAAAATTTATTGTTAGTGAATACAAACAGCTAATTGAACCGCAATGACTCTTAACAGCTTAAAAGCACTCATAAACAAATTCTCATAGGTACCATCAATCTATCACAATTTGTATATACAATCCAGTATCATATTATCAATCTCGCTCAATTCTCATAGTATCAACTTCTATGAAAAAATTGAAGAAACTACAACTCATCTAACGACATAAAAAATCAAAGAGAAAACGAAGATTAGGTACCTGAGAAGATAAATCAGCAGCAGTATAGATAAGGGCGGAGGTGACACTTTTAGTAAGAATAGGATGTGTCTTAACCATACCCAAATACCACCCAATAAGACCACCCTTTGAAATGGAAGACAGGCGTGTTGCAGCCTCCGTATTATTGGTGGTAGGAAATGGAACAGGAAACTCGATCTTGGCTTTTCTTTGAGGAAATCGAGAGTAAGAAGCTTTTGGCTGTTGGAAATGGTGTCTGATAATCGGAGCCCCGATTGAATTGGAAATGGAATGTCTCTTCCATATGGTGTTGACGTAGAGATGCGCTTTGTTACCATTCTTAAGGAAACCTGCGCTCATTTTTCTTCTAGTTGTTTTTCCCTAATTGAGGGTGGGATTTTTCTAGGGTTTATGTTTAGAGAGGTTTTAAGAAGTCGGCTTCTTTTGGTTTGAGAAGGAAAGCGGTGCCGAGTGCAACACATATTGTCATTAGTAGGTGTGTGTGTTCTAGGTGGTCTGATAGAGTGCTAACCCGCACTTTACTAAATGCTTACCTGTAGCTGTTTATTAGACAATTTTTTTCACTGAACAAACATGACAAGATCCAAGAATCTTAAATGGCAAGAGTGATGATAAGGATATAGAATCTTATCCGATAAGTGAGGGTGATGACTATTACCCGGGTAAATGTTTATCATATATATTGTTGCACACAATACCTTTTTGATATATTACAATTTTACCTAGAAAATAAATTATAATGTTGATTCCTAATGGTAAGCGTTTACCGGAAGCATTTAGGTAAACATCCCTAAAGTGAAAATCAATTGGTGAGTTTGATAATTTGATATATCAAAATATTATTTTATATTTATTATTTTGAATATATTATTTTCTCACTAATAATTATTTTTATCATCAATCATTTGATATAACATATACATACTCGTTAAATATATATCAAATTCAACAATTTTTTTCAATTTGTATATATATGTTCATATTTATTAAACATATATATCTATACTATCTTATAAAGCATTTGGCTAAAACTCTTAAAAACTCTTAAACTCGTTCATCCCTTAACGATTTCATCTCTATCCAATTTCATCCCATATCTGAATTTGTGCAACTAACTGCAGATAAACACAGTCAAATACAGGATAAACGTCTCATTTTAAATATAAAAAATCTAAAATATAATTAGTATAATCATTAAATTCTAACAGAATACTTAATTATTATCTTTATAAAATTTATAATATTAAACCAAATATAAATTGTTTTATTATTAAACTTAAATTATTTATACTATCTTATAAAACATTTGGCTAAAACTCTTAAAAACTTTTAAAACTCTTAAAAACTCTTAAACTCGTTCATCTCTAAACGATTTCATC